AAAGTAATTAAATAATTGCTCATGCACATTAAGTACAAATTATTAAAATGCATTCCATGAATGTATGCAATTAAACCAAGTGTAATTACCAGGTATAATCATTATTCGTAATTATTAAAAAGTAATAGATATAAATTTATTAATAAAGACGATTTATTTATTAATAAATTAGATCCTAGCTGAAACCCTAAAGAATGTTGAAATAGTGCGCTATTGGAATATAACTGCAGGCATATTCCTTTACTGCACCGACATCGGAAATGAACTTTAATTTACATTCACACGTTTCCTTTCATTTTACTATTCTGTTTATGGTTATTCTGAATATTTTAAATAAAATCGTAAGTTAAAAAATCAAGAGTTCTATTTCAATATCCAATACCTCGGAAATTACACACAGGTGTATACAACAATATTATAGTATTTATAAATACAAAGATATGTTAATAACCTTTCTTGTTATTAATATTCTAATGGTTATTGATTCAATACTAATTTTTTTATCACTGCAAAAAACCTTTTTTTGGTTGTTATCGAAAATTAAAAATTTGATCTTTGTTTATGATTAATAGTGTCTCATCTATAACTAAATGCAATAGAGAGAAGCAAAAGGCAAGACAATAGTAAAATATCTAAATATTGTAGAAGCAAATTTTACAGCATTGGATAAATCTATTCTTTCCTAGAAGATGTACAATAAGTGGCAATTAAATAGTTATATCAAGAAACAATATATAATTACTAACATTCATTAGTACTTATAGTTATATAGTATTAGTACTTATAAAATAACCAAACATACGATAATTAAACATTAAATATTTACGTTTCTTTTTCTAGAAAGTAGGAATTTTAAAACGAACGTGCAAGATTTCTATGTGTAACGAAGTTTTAAAATTCCCGGGCGAATTGTAAAACTTGGCAACGTCGCGGTACGGGAGTACATATTTAGTCGTTCCTAATAAATACAATATGACCAAGGTTAGTAAATACACAGGTTGTCTGGTAACTTTACACCAATTACCGTCGAGAATCCAAATGAAAATCCAAAAAAAAAAATCATTCACTTTACTCCTTGAAATGAATTCGAAAAGCAGCTATGATTAAAATATATTAATCTATGTATATTAAAAAAAAATACGTTTGGAATTTTAATGACTATATATTTTATTCAATCTTTAAAAAATGTGAGAGATATCTACAGAAATAGTACAATATAATTGAAACTTAATATATGTAGAATAGCACCACTACCAAATTAAATGAAAAGTAGATTCTGTCTTGTGCATATATGTAACTAAAGCATGCAAATATACTATATTTGAATACAATTTGTTTGTTTAAATTATTTTGAGTACATATTTTTGAATTGGGGATAATGCATATAGTGCAAAACGTACTTCAGCGTACTAAAGTGCCTTGGGTTAAAAGCCCTTGATAATTCTTTTTTGGGGCCAGCGAGCCTTCGTTTTCTTTTTAATATTATTTATGTTTATTAGGGAGTTAAAAAAATGTTTAAAAATATGTGTTGCCATGTTACTTTTTCCTCAAACTCAGTTTCGCTTTCCAGTTTAGCTGTCTCAAGGTCTCTAATCCATGATTTAGGATTTTTTTCATTATCTACTTTATATAGAAGTTTTTGTTGAAGTTTCACATTTTCTTCTTTCATGTTTCTCAAGTCTCTTTTTAGTACATCTAAATATATTCTTTATTACATGAAGTTTTTTTCTGGTAAATCAATATGTTGGGTAGAAGTATTCATGTGTATTATTTTTATTTTTGTTTGTTACCAGGAAAGAAAACATGTTTGTTTTCTTTCCTGGCCATGCGTTTCTATCTCCATACTTATTTCTTTTACATCATCTTCATTTGGCAGTAGAAATAACGAGGGAATTACTAAAATTAAAAGTTTTAATTATAACTAGGTACATTGAAGTTATTATTAATGATATTTGTTTGTTTTTTACTTTATTTACAGCAAAAATAAAATCCAATATTAAGTATGTACTTAACGCAACCACATTAAATGTATTTTAACACTTGTGTAAGAATTTTGGGATCAAGTTACCTATATACTAAAAAACACTCAATGATATCTATAGACCCATTATATCTCTATCTCTAATAAAAACACTAACAATATTTAACAACAAAATATATTCTCCAAACCATATGTTCTCCTTTTCTGATCTCAAACAATTCGTAAAATTGACCCCCTAGGTGACGTCACGGTGACATATTTTATTCTGTCAATATCATAGTTAATATGCAACCTGTCTTTTTTTAACCTTGTTCATAACCTATGTTTTAAATGTGCTGTCAAATAAAATTAGTTTCGGCCCGTCCACATTTGGCGCTAGGAACTCTCTCCGAAATCTTTTTATAGGACTTACCGTACTGGAGGGCTATGTACTGTGTTATAATTTTATTGTGATTTTATCATCGAGTTAGATGTTTTGTGTCTATCACAAACGCAAAGAAGTATAATACCACGAAACAGCTATTATTGAAAGAGTTCTGACGTCCCAGGTCAAAGATGACATGCTGAAATGAATTAAGATTTAATTTATAGGATTGGAATGCTATTATGATATCTGTTTTTATTTTGTCTTTTAGTTTTCAAATCAAAGTTATTTTTAACAACAATTATAAACGAAAACGTCAGAACAAATAGTTTTTTCAACCAAAAATTGACCCCCTAGGTGACGTCACGGTGACATATTTTATTCTGTCAATATCATAGTTAATATGCAACCTGTCTTTTTTTAACCTTGTTCATAACCTATGTTTTAAATGTGCTGTCAAATAAAATTAGTTTCGGCCCGTCCACATTTGGCGCTAGGAACTCTCTCCGAAATCTTTTTATAGGACTTACCGTACTGGAGGGCTATGTACTGTATTATAATTTTATTGTGATTTTATCATCGAGTTAGATGTTTTGTGTCTATCACAAACGCAAAGAAGTACAATACCACGAAACAGCTATTATTGCCTTGTGTACCATCAAAAAAAAATAGTTTTTTCACAATCATATTTTATAAAGGCACAAAATATTTTAAAATTAAGTATGTAAATATTCATACTATGTAAGTATAATTAGAATACCACAAATCTTTGATTGTGCGTCTACGTCTACAGTCCGTCAAACTATAAATCTAGCCTCATATATAAAAGCGATTTAAGTTATCCTTTACATCGTTGGATTTAGGAAAAGAAAATCTGCAATAGACGCAGTGGAAAGAGTAACGGACATATCAATTGTAGAAGTAGGTGGTTCCCATAATAAATATAATAAGAAATTGGGAAGTATCTTCATACCTACCTTCAATATTTGAGAGAAATACTTCATAAAAAAACAAATAGGCGTAGCAAAGGCCAATCTAATGGAGACATCGGCGGGTATACCACAGGGCTCGGTACTCGGACCGCTGTTCTGGAACATCTTATATAATGACATTCTAGAAGAAGATCTAGAAGGGATACAGGTCGTGGCATATGCAAACGACTTGGTAGTACTTGTAGAAAACAATGATGATTGGTTGATCATGAATTTGGCAAATACTGCATTAGAAAGAGTTAAAGTTTGGTTAGAAAACAGAGATTTAAAATTAGCTTCACAAAAGACAGATATATATTTAAAGGCCCGAGAGACAGGGATTATATCTCCTTCACGCTGAAAGGAGAAAGAATAATTCCAACAAAAAAGGGGAACTCCGAAAAGGGAAATGTTTGGAAGTCATGCTTGATTATAAGCGAATACTTGACAAGGAAGATGGTATTATGTTGACAAGATGGATAGATACCGCCGTCGTAACAATGGTAGCAACTTCCTATGGTGTGCATCCTATTCAACAAGTAAAACGTTATTCACATTCTGAAAAAAAAAGTTGTCCAAGTTCCTCGCCCACATGTTGTTGGAATGTATAACAAGTTTATGGGAGGCACTGATAGAATGGATGAGGATTTAACAAGATACTATATAAGTATTCGTAGTAATAAATGGTATTGGTCTATATGGTTAATTGATGCTGCAGTGCAAAATTCCTTTAAAATTCCATAAAATACTTTATAAGTGTTCAGGAAGACCGACAACTAATTTGAATTTCTGACTTATCGCGACTACTTACCTTATCAAATTCAGGAACCTTCCCATTAGACCTGTTAGACCAACAAGTAGAAATAGTATATCTTTTAACAGAATCTCTGACAACATTAGGTACGATGGTATTAACCATCTCATTTGTTCCTAACAAAAAACGAAGGCGGTGCTCAGGAGAAGGGTGCTGCTCACTTGCTCAGTAAGACGTACGCAGTGTGAGAAATGCGATATTGGACTCTGCATTGAATGCTTTGCCATATTTCATAAAGAGTAAATCTTGTAATATCTTTATAGTATTTTGACCTAGTGTTACCATATGGTCACAGTTTGTAATGTCATATATTCGATAAACAAATAAAATTTAATAGGTTTTTTCTGCTTATTTTTTTTTTTCTAAATTACTTGGTAAAAAACCACCAGTTTAACAAAAAAATGAATTCAGACTTTGATGGGCTAATAATGTTGGGATTAATATATCCCAGTCCTGTTTTTATATTAAAATAAAAAATATTTAAATGATGCATTTTGTAATTACTAAAGAACTTAACATGGATGCAATATAACAATAAAACTTAATCGATGCAATAAAACAAGAAGCAATAAAATTCGTATTGAAAGGGTTCAAATTTATTTTATTTATATGCAAAGTTTATAAAAATAAAAATGAAATAGAATATAAAGATTACACTTCTGATATATGAAAGTTTTAGTATAAAACATTTTAGAATATTTGAACAATTGGCTGAAATAATTTTTTAGCCTAACTATAGGCAATTTACATGACGACAAAAAAAACAGTTTAAGAACTACTGAACTAAAAAGTCGCGTGAGCGACTAATGTTCTTCCTACAGATCGCGCCACTTAATTTATTAGTCATTCCTTGTATAACTGTCACTTTTTGTTGGTCGTTCAAAATGACATGACATAGAGGGGTGTTGTTCGGCAAATTTGAGTCAAAAGTATCTGAAGAATTTTGAACGTAGTTGTGTGATTAATATGAAAATTGTGTTTTAATAGTAATAGAATTTAACAGAAAAGATTAAAAATGGCCTATTACTATAGAACTTTCATGGAAACTTTTTGGTGTGAGCACGTTTGGTTACCCCCTAACACCACTTGGAAAGACATAGCTCCTGATGCAGATCCTAATGTTCGTCATGCTGATCCAACACACTTACTTTATCCTTTGCCGATGGCATTTGTACTGTTATTTTTACGATATATATTAGAAAAGTAAGTGAGGTTAATACCATTTAGAATTAATATAGTAATACGAACTTCTTGTTAGGTACTGGTTTGCTCCTGTTGGATTATCATTAGGAATAAAAAATAATAGACCAAAAAAGACACCCGATAATCCTCTTCTCGAAAAAGCATATACACAGTCAAAAAAGTGGAAACATAAACAGGTACATTCTTAGTTTTTTTTTTATAAAAACAAAACAGTGTTATAAATGACTAAACCATTAATTCCCCTCATCAATAACACTAATACAAATTTATTTTTGACTTTAGTTTTTTATTTTTTAAAATAGTATTTTTCATTATAGGGATGCATAAAATAAGGATAGAAACAATATTCTTCTCTAGTAATTATTTTTGTAAAAGGTTTAAAAAGGAAATAATATCATTAAGAAATTTGGCATGGGCTAATGAACTTGTATGTTAGGCTGATGTGGAGGTGGTGAAATAAAATTCAAATTTTTTTTGCATAAAAGGAAACCAGTATTACATATAACCAGAAACATATACATAATGTCTTTCTACACAAATTTTTCAATAAAATTGACTCAACTATCTACCTACCTTTTTTAAACATTGTCATTTTATTACCCTGATTACACCTTAAACATACATTTCTGGTTTTCTTGATTAAAAATTGAAAAATCCTTTATCACAGAATTAATTTCATAGTTATTATACAGCTGTATTATCTTTTCCAATAATATTTTATAAGATTTCTTTACTATAAAGTTTTTACGATTTGGCAGTATAGGACCATATGCAGTACTGCGTTAGCAGGATCTCAATAAAGACTTAAATTCACACCACTTTCAAGTGTTCTGATCAGAAAGAAGAAGTATCTGGATATTTTCTCTTTGTAATGTGATATGGTTTTTAAAGTTTCCAATAACTACAATTTTTTCGTCATATTAGTTTCATAGAATTATCTTATGTCTAGAAGAATATCTTATTATGTCTAGAAGTTTTTGTTGAATCCTTACCCCCTGAGGGTTTGCATGATTTTAATATCCTGCAAAACTTAAGATTGTTAAATTACATTAAAAAACATATAATATGCAATGATGAATTTTTGATATATTTCTACAAATATAATTCCATATATAGGAAGGTTACTAAATTAGCCAAATGTATATCTTTTAAATCTAGAATGGAAAATAATAAACAAAAGGAATCTTGGTCTATAGTTAATAATCTTAGAACTAAAGTTCCCCAAAATACAGTCTTAGACCCTAGTGAACTGAATATATATTACTGTTCGGTAGGTCCACAACTTGCCGGAAAAATTAATTCTTTTGATCCAATGCATTTTTTAAAGGGAGTAAACATTAGAAATTCCTTTTATTTTCTTTCTACTAACTCTGCTGAAATAAAAAATATTATACAAGGCATTAAAAACCCTATGGCTGCAGGCTGGGATGATATCCCATTTTTAGCGGAGGCAATTAACACATCTTTTTAAATGGGTCACTTTAGCAATTGTTTAAAATGTGCTAAGGCTATTCCTCTGTATAAAGGTGGTGACCACAATTTACCAGCTAATTATCGTCATACCTCTTTGTTACTGCCGCTTTCAAAGATTGTAGAAAAATTGGTAAAAATCTGAATGATGACTTTCTTACAAAAACACAATTTACTTTCTTCCTTGAAATTCAGTTTCCAGTCATTAAAAAGTACATATGATGCCATCTTCGAATTCATGGAAAAACTATACTTGGAGTTAAATACCGATTATGTTGCTGCCACAGTTTTCTGGGATCTATCACAATAAAAACTGCACTTTGCCTTTGCCTGTGTCAATCACAAAATACTTCTTAATAAACTGGAAAGATATGGTTTTAGAGGCATTGCTCTAAAGTGGTTCAGTTCATACTTGGAAGACAGATGCAAAGCCGGTTTACTGTATTTGCAGATAACACCACAATTTTAAGGCAAAACAAGGACTCTAAGGTACTGAACAAGATTATTAGTAGTGATATGCTAAAAATCTTACTAGTGGTGCAAAGCTAATCATTTGACATTTAATTACAATGGAGACAAACAAATATGTATGTCGGAACTATAGAGGAATATCGTTAATCAATACAACATACAAAATGATATCCATAATTCTGTCTAGAATACCAACTCTTTACGCAGAGAAAAGGAGACTACCGGGAAAGCCGACCATAGACCAGATATTCGTCCTATGAGAGGTGTTGGGAAAATCTGTGAATTCAACCGCAATGTACACCAAATCTTCGTGGACTTTAAACAAGCTTACGATTCTGTTAGCAGAAAAGCATTGTGGGAGACCATGGTAGAAATGGAAGTACCTGGAAATCTGGTATGATTAGCACAGGTGAGCACAGAGAACGCTTCTGCATGGATCAATATTAGCAGCACCACGTCGGAGGAATTCCTCATTGACACTGGGCTTAGACAAGGAGATCCTCTATTTAATTTTGCACTGGAATATGCGGCATGACAAATGGATTTGCCGCCCAAGGATCAAAAATACTATTGGCGTTTGCGGGTCATGTGGACACAATTGCACAATCCACCAGAGATGCAAAAGAAGTTTTCACCCTATTCGAAAACGGAGCCAAGGAAGTTGGTCTGAAGATCAACGAGATCAAGACCAAGTACATGGTGGTTACGAAGAACCCAAGGCCAAGGGTTAGACAAAATGTAACAATAAATGAATACAACTTTGAAGTCATCAAAGAATTCAAGTACGTGGGAGTGATCATAACATCTGAAAATAAATATGAAAAGGATGTGGCAGCCAGGATCATTGCAGGAAACAGGGCATATTACTCATTAATGACTTTACTTAAATCAAAAATACTCTCAATGCCAGAAAAAATAAGAGTGTATAAGACAATAATTCGTCCCAAAATAAGGTATGGCAGCGAGACATGGACTCTGAACCAGCGGGAAATGACAAAATTACTGGTACTGGAAAGAAATATACTGCAGACTATCTATGAGGCTTGCAGAGAAGAGACAACAGGAGAATGGAGAAGAAGACACAATGATGAACTCCAGACAGTATATGAAGATGAAAACGTAGTACGCTACATTAAAGCAAACCGAATAAGATGGACGGGCCATGTACTAAGATTGAGTGACGAAAGACTCCTGAACGCCAAATTCTGGGAAAGGCCCGATGGCAGAAGGAAGGACGCAGTAGCCAGTGATCTACGCAAAATGGGAATACAGCAATGGAAAATAGCTGGACTGACAAGAATGGAGGAAAATAGTAAATGCAGCCAAGACTCACATAGAGGTGTAGAGCCAAATGATGATGGTGATGAGTAGTATTGTGAACTAAGTATTCTGTTTGTAGGTTTCATTCCTATTTCGAAAGTAAAGTTTGATGATGTTGTGCATCTGTCCAGATTTTGCACAAAGGATGCGGAAGAGTATTTCAAAGCACTACCACATGTTGAGCAATTATTATATTATTAAACGGATTAAGCAAAATTGTATTATCCTTTTATTTTTGTTGCTTTTTTTAAATTAAATTCACTATACATTAAAACAAGAGACATTCCTGGAAGACAGGGGTCCTGGAAGTAGTCTGAGAGGAAGACCAAAAAAGATCTTGGGGGGAGATGCTTAGGCATCTGGTATTAATATGGATATGATAGAAGATAGAATCTTATGGAGAAATGTAAGTAGCGAAGCAGACTCCGCATAGGAATAAAGGCAAAGAGAATGATGATTTAGTGAAATCTAATAAATTCGACAGTCTGTCTGGATTATACCACTCTTCCAATCTGATTCTAGCTAAGTTACTGTAGTTGTATGTACCTTGGTTTATCTTCTTCTTCTTTTTATATAGACATGACTGTCTGTTTTTCAATGTGCCTCCAGTAAGTTGTTTTTCCATCGTTTTCGTGGTGTTCCTACTGATCGTCTTGGTATGCTTGGAATGCTCTGGCAGGTATATTATATTGTTGCAGCATACATTGTAAATCATCTTCACTTTGAGAGAGTAGTATTGCATCGTCTGCATAGGAGATTATTCTAAGTTGTTTTTCTCCCGTTTGGTATCCTTTTTTAGTTCTTACTTTATTATTTCATATTTAATCAGGTTGAACAATGGAGGAATCAGGGAATCTCCCTGTCTTATCCCATTGCCAGCTCTAATAGGGTCAGTTAGTTCTTCTACTTTTACTTTTATTGTGTTGCTTTGGTAGATACCTTCGATCGTTTTGATTATTCCTAGAAGTATCTCTCTTGCATACAGTAAGTGAATAACATCTGTTAATTGAATTAAAAGACCTTGGTTTATGATATTGGAATTTACTTAATGTATATCTGTCTACCTATTATAAACTATTTGCTTTTGAAATATAGGAAAAATATTCAATTATTAACTATAGAAAATTTATATAAATTTAATAGTTATAAATCAATAACGCTAGATAAAAATTAAAAGAATAATATAAAATTAATTTTACATTTGTATAAAAAACTAGAACTGTAAAACTCTTCTCTTGAATTTTTTATATATTTTAATATTATTAACAATATTGACTTGCTGGCTCATTGACTACACAGTATTTTTTATTTGGAAAACAAAATTACGTTGCTTAGTCATGAATGTAAAACTTTGCCAGGGGTTATCAGTAATGTCTGTGTCTAATCATTCTGTTCACATCAATCACATTCCAACAGGTTAAAATTCAAAAAATATTTGTATGTTTAATTGACTTTTTTTGATGATTAAAATTTATTCTTGGCAAAAACAAACAATAAGCCCCATATTCTTATAGACAATGAAAAATGTATGATTATATTTGATTACCTGGTCGACTTCGCAGTTTATTTACATAAGCTCTATTTGTCCATTAGTTTATATTGTTGGTGTATCATTAGTATGTGCTTTTCTTTCCATTCTGGTACACACAGGGTATTTTCGAATTCAATCGAATTTTTTCAATTACGAGTTAATATATACGATACCCGCGTAGCGTTCGCATCAAGGGTAATGAAAAGGCTGATTTTTCCGGAAAGGAAGCTACATCACGCAACATAATTCCTGATAAAGGAATCTATGTCATTTTTTTATCTAGATATATTCCTAGATATTTTACTGATGCACGTACGCTATACTTTGTTGCATCCAATGTTAATTTGGTTGGAATGCCTTTTCTTTTTCTCGTGAAAATGCAAACTTCTGTTTTTTCCTGGAAATTTTTAGACCATTTTCATTACACCATTTATTGAGGTTCATATAAGCTATATTTAATTTTTTGCACCCTTCTTCAATATATTGGCATGGTGAATATATACAAATATCATCGGCAAATTGTAGTATAGAAATGGTCTCACATTTAATTTTACATTCTCGATCTGCTGTGTATATTAAGTATAGTACAGGGCTTAGTATACTTCCTTGTGGTAATCCAATATTGGTCGTTTTAGGGCCCAATATTTCATCATTTTTATTTATTGAAATGTTTAGATATAAATTATGGGATACAACCTACAAAGATTTTAATTTACTATCTGGGAATAAGCCACAATATTACTTTAAAATAACTTTATTTGACGTTTAATAAGAAAATAGCTTCAGGTCAATATTCTAAAAAGATATTTTTTTTGCTCTTTTTAACTCCTAGAAATCTTATTGCGTCTTTTAATAATCATCTTAATTTTCTCGAGAAACTGATATCGTTATTTCTTAATGAACATCTGTTGATACTTTTATTAAATCAAATAAAAACTATTAGATAAGATAAATAATTTAATTTTATATCATTTCTTATTAAAAAAGATACTAATTAGAAGAGATACTATCTTAGGTATATCATATTACATATTTTGTTATATTATACTGTGGTATGTGCAACAAACGTAACTTTTGAGAAAAATGAAAAACAAAAAATGCTTCACTGTAACAGAGATTAGAACAGAGACTAGGTACACCTAGTTTTGTACAGCGGCGGCTCGTGGCCTAAAAAATGGTGAAGATGAGGAAAGCTTGCCGGAGCCAACAGGAGTTTTGGTGCCTACTTCGGGGTTAAAAAAATGTACAGAGTTTAGGGCCCTAATAACTTGAAAATAGTTTTTTAGTGCACTTATACTAGATACGATTCGTTCTGCTTGCCTGGGGTATTTTAGTTCTGAACCTTGACATTTCATTGAGGGCAAAAATATATTGAATTTTTACCGTTGAGCTGATACAAATTTTATTGAACATTGACAGTCAAAATCGCCGGTCGCTTCAAGCGTTGTATCTGAGAGAACGGTTCATTCTACAGGAAAAGTGCTAATAACCATTTTTATTCAAAACGATCTCAGCTACATTTCTTGTTTACAAGTTTTTTTCTACGGCATACGGGTTCTTGGTAAAACGATGTTTTCTACCCCTCTTCCCCCCCTCCAAATTCAGCTTGTTCGTATGATTTTCAATGACATTTTCATCTCTGACGACTTGTATTTGAAGATAGCAATAATCTCTTGCTTAATTTGGTGGTAATAGTATTATTTAAATAAAAGAAATAGCGTAATTATATCCATTGTCTTCTTTTATTATGTTTTAAATTTTAATTATAGATGGATAAAATGTATAAAATTAATTCACGATCATTTCTTAATGTTCAATTGTTTCCCAATACACTAACTTGTAGTTATTTATGTTATATCCCCAAATATAATTTTTATTACGTAATTAATTTTGCAATTCACTCCAAATAAAACTAAGAAACCGGGTTTAGAGAAAATCGGTCCACTAACACACCTAAATTTACGATATACAATTAATTTGTACCCTCAATGTATGATTTTAAACTATCAAACACGACATTTTATAGTATTTTTGCGTCTACACTTTTGTTTAATGACAAACATTCTTTTTAAGCAATAAACTGTGGTCTTTAGCTGGATAGGTTGAGGGGGAAGAGCTGTTTGTCTCAAGTTGGTCATTTATAATTCTATCTATATTTTTTAATTTGTCAATTTCCATAGATTCAAATAATTATAGCTTAAGGCCTTTATTTTGAATATGTAGAATTTGAAATTGGTCATTAAAAGAATGATTATGATCTAGAAGGTCAAGTTCATACGTTTAATCTGTTTTTCTATTATTGAAAGCCCTTTTATGTTCTGCTATACGTTTTTTAAAGGTCCTACCAGTTTGATCGATGTAAGTTTTTGGGCAGCCAGCACAGTGTGTTTCTATAAACCACTGCTTAAGTTCTTTTTTTTGGATCTTGTTCTTAATATATTTGCTTAAAGTTTTTGTTTCTTCTGAATGATGGCGTTATTCCTTTTCTTTTTTATTTGTGGCTATTTTTGTTGATATTTTGCCTGCATATGTAATCCAGCAGGTACTGGGTGTTTTCTGTGATGATGGGAAGACTAATTTTAGGGCTTTCTTATGCAGTTTTTGGTTTAAAATTTTGTTTATTGTTTTTTCGTTGTATCCATTGTTTACTGCTAGTTGCTTAATGATATTCAATTCTATCTCGAAGTTATTTTTTGACATGGGAATTTCTTTTAATTCATGCAACATACTATGGTAGGCTACCACCTGCTTGTGCTGTGATTTCAGTATACAGTTTCTGTCAAAAATGGGAGTTTTAAAGGTTAGAAAGGTTCATTACATTTGGCCAATACAGCTTTGTATTGTCTTCTTTTTTTCACAAGGATTAGGCTTTAAGGAAAGTCTGGGAAGTGAACCCGAAAGGAAAGCAACTCCCAGGGAGACCAAGAGTGCGATGGAGAGATATTAGTACAGCAGATTAACGCACTTTAAATTTTGAACAAGCAGAAGAACTAATATTGGACCGTTACAAGTGGAGGTAGATTGTTAAGTCAGCGAAGATCCACCCTGGGTTATAGTGCTAGAGGTAATAACCTTAATTAACCTTCCAAATTCACATGCCCGAAAAAAAAATGAATCGTAAAAACATTATTTTAATTTCATATTGAAATCAATATATAAAGTATTAAAAATGATTGAAAAAAAACAGTAAATACTCTTAACTATTTTATTAATGCAAACTCTAGTTTCACTGTGGGAAACTTACTATGAGAACGCAATGTAGACAAATAAATGTTTTCAGTAATGTAAAGTTACGTTTATTAATACGTATCTCGTTTACAACCACCATAATGGTTATTAGCGGTGGCTACAGAATTACAAAATTAGAGTTTAGAGTTTATAAAATATTCCTATAGATTTTAAGAACTTTACAATATTACTAGCTGAGAAATTAGTGCCTAATAAATTACTTAAACTGTTAGGTATGTTAAATGTAACACAAAAATTGGCAAATCTATGGCATTCAATTAATAAATGGTTAACGGTTAATTTTACACTACATGTTTCGCAAATAGGTGGATCACTTTTGGAAAATAAATATGAGTAAGTCTCGTGTGTCCAATTCGTAATCTCGTTATCACCAATTGTTCTCTTCTGTTCCTTGTTGAGGGTTCCCAAGCTGCAACGTCATTTTTAATTTGCTTCAGTGATGTTTGAGAAGATTGCCATTCGTTTTTCCACTTGCACAAAACTCGATTCTTTATAAAAGCTTTTATATCACTCGCGGTATTTCGATACTCGGCTTTTTCGATATCGGTACATTTAGCAATTTCACTCGCGCACTGGTCCACACTTTCGTTGCCAGCAATGCCAATGTGGGATGGAATCCATATAAATCTGATCCTCCTAGAATTTTCTTGAGCTTGCATGAGTTCTAGTTTTATCAGTTTCTCAAGGGGACCTTTAGGATAGATCTGTTTAAGGGTTTGAAGCGCGCTTAGTGAGTCACTTAACATAACAGAGTTAGGAATGTTATTAGAATTTATATGTATGATAGCTTTAAACACTGCATAGAGCTCAGCGGAGTAAATCGAAAAGAAGGTTGGGAGACGAAATTGACATGTATCGTTTGGAGTAACGAAAGCAGCACCTACTCCTTTATCACGCTTAGATGCATCTGTAAATATTTTATAGCAATCTTCGTAATGCTGACGGAGAATTAGATCTAGATTATTCTTAATCTCTGCATGGCAGTTAATATGTTTGTCGTATTGGGTTAAACCAGTGTTTATATTTGGGGCATTAATTATCCAAGGAGAGGGGCTTTTGATATTGATTGGAAAGTTTATTGGGAATTCGATATTGAGACATCTCAGGTAACACCGTACTCGCTCATAGTAGGCTTATGTTTGGTACTATTGGTAAAGAGATTTATATATTTATTAGTGAACGTATTATTAAATAGAGGTTTTTTTACATTTGAGGCTATTGACGTTGCGTGTGATAGTGTTAGGGAAATTCGGCGGTGATATAATGAAGGCTCCCCACTTTCCGAATATAAACTTTCCACCGGTATTGACAATATTAATTTCATCGCTTTAAAAGAATATGCAGATTGTTTATTTATCTTTATTTTCTTTGTTTTAGGTACAAGGTCTGGCTAAACAGTTAGACATTAGCGAAAGACAAGTAGAACGATGGTTGAGACTGCGAAAAGCTCAGAACAAACCATCGACTTTAGTTAAATTTTGTGAAAATTCATGGAGGTGTTTATACTACACTCTTAGCTTTATTTATGGTTTAACAATTTTATGGGACAAACCTTGGCTGTGGAATATAAATGAATGTTGGTGAGTAAGGAACTTTATCTTTAGAATCTTTAAAATATTTCGTAGATCGTTTGTCAGTCATACGTCTCATGGGTGATTAATTTTAGAAACGAAATTATTTGTATTAGGTAATTCTAAATACCGTGACTCATACCTGTAGTTTGTATCTGTTTATTTAATTTTTAATGAGTACCTAGTACAACTTATATCTACCAATTTGAATTTTAAATTATTTGTTTTGATATTTATCGAATTTTTTAAAATATATTTGAACTTTAAACTTTCTACAAGTATCTATATATGGAATAGAATTTGCACCTTGACATATATTTTGCTAGAACTATATTTCCACAGGATAATTTCAAAATAAGATATTTAGTTACTAATTTTTTAGTTCGTTAGGTTTCAAATTAAAAAAAAAATAGTTTTAAATATTTTGTATCAAAAAGAGATGTTCCAGGAAGATGAGAAATTAGTAGTTTTCAAAATTTCAAAAAATTTAATTTTTTGAAATATTTCTTGCTTCCACTGGGAGTTGATGGTTTTTTAACTAGCATAAAAGCTTTCCCAATAATCACCAAACCATGTTTCTCATCATCAGTGACATTACAGCTCGTCATGAGCCAAAGCCTTCTTCATATCGTCTATTAAAATAGATAAACACGTATTTACGCAAAGTAGTTATTTTTGTTAAATTAAATCAAACAATGTCAGTTTTACAGTTCACAAAGAACTGTAAAGAATTAAAAACGCTAAGTTATCATTTCTCCCCTTTCGCCGTGTTTATATGTCATCAACGAACTACTCGTGACCATATAAGGTCATTAGCTGATCGCCGTATTAGGAATTCCATCTTGAGGAAGGGACATTAGGAAGTTAGTGACTTAAGCTGATCAGCGTATTAGTGTGACCGCATTCAGAACAATCTTCCATTCGCTTCTTGGTCGAAAATTTTTCTGATAGTTGCATCTTCATCTCGCGTAATTACATGTCTTATCCATCAAAGGCGTGCTAATTTAATACATTTTACAACGTCAGGTTCTGTAAAAAAAAAACTTCTGTATAACTCAAAGTTGTAGCGCCTACGCCACAAACCCTGTTCTTGGACTCCTCCATATATTTTCCTTAGAATTTTTCTCTTGAAACGTTTAGCAGTTCTTGGTCGTTCTGTGTAAGTGACCAGGTCTCTGACTGGTATGTTAACACTGACCTTATTAGTGTTTTATATATGGTAATTTTAATTTTTCTGGTTAGTTTTTGGGGTCATCTGTTTGCTCAAGCCATAATAGCACTTATTGGCGATCACTATTCTTCTTGCCATGTTTCTCAGCAATCAAAAATAAAAAAAAACTTGTTTCCCTTGCCATACTTCGGCAAGCAAACGAAAAAGAAACTTTTACTCAACTGTTAATGCACTAAATTGGAAATTGTTTGGTTCTAAAGGCTTAAAGAATTTAGAAGATGGAAGAATACCAGTACTACTATCCCATTCGGAAGCTTGGTCGGTACCACATCACAATTCAAACAGAACAACGCAATCTTAATCGCAAAATACCCCCACGAGCTAAAATTGTCTCAGTTAAAATCTAATCTTTGATCAATCGCTAATTACTTAGCTTCTCACATTGGACTTAATACTGCGGTCAATATGACATTTAAAATAACAAAAATTCCCATAAAGCCAAATATTGATGAAGAGCTGGGGTTTACCATTACAAATGAAGTTTTAAAAATCCCATCGATCGTATGTGTGCTATAAAAGTTATTCGAGGTCAAAGATCAAAATTTGAGGTTGGATTTTTCTCGAAAACGGTAAGTTTTATCAAAACAAAACCTTAAACCAAAGTTGTAGATCTTAAAGTTCTCTACAAAAATTGTCTTCATGATTTTTTCCTTAGAGTTACCATTCCTGAGATATCGCGATTCTAATGCCCGATTTCACCGACGATACCTAAATATTTAAGAATTACCTAAGCGGGCTTAGGTACTTCTTAACTCTAAAACGGATTTCACCATACGCTAAGAATTGCCTAAACCGCTTAAGCATTACCTAATGTTAGGATACGTTTTGCGATCTCCCTAAACAGTTTAGGTATTACTTATAGTTAAAAGTGAGGTTATATTTTAACAGTTTTGACGGATGTACTTGTGAAATTTGTCAATAATTTGCTTCTTACCGTAATGTGTGTGTTGTTACTCTATAGTTAGTTATTTTTGTATTATTTTATATTAATTAATTGTTGCTTTGGTACTATTTATAATATGAAAGCACTACAGTTTATCGAAAATCTAGATCGATTCGATTCCTGATCTGATTCTGAAGAAGAAACAGAAAGAAGACCTCGAGTTATCAATAATCGACCAAATTATTTTGAAATTTTGGACGATGTGGATTTTTTTAGAAGGTTTCCAATGTCTAAACCAACAGTATTATATGTGTTGGAACAAATAGAAAATGATATTCTACTTAACAAACTGGTATTTCCTTTCAAAAACCCATTCATGATTTCATTAAAAGTGTATTATTAAAAATATAAAATAAAAAACAATTTTCAAGATATGTTATATTTTAAAATTATTTCAATAATGACAATAGAGCTGGTGGCACTTCTTCATTATCTGAAATTAAAATTAGATAAAAAATGTATTATACTGTATAATATAACATGTAATCAACTCATTTTTAATTTTAATATGCTCTTAGCCTATTTAATATGAAATTTACAGCCCTTTTTTTCCGCCATTTCACTAGACGTATATAAATAATTTACAAAACTAAACAAACCTTATTTATAAATAACTTCTCATTAAAATAACTATAATACGACAAAACTGAATAAAACCAACTTGGAAAACAAACAGTTCAATAACAAAATAAAAAAGTAAGGTTATGACTTCTTTTAATTTATCAATAATAGTTCAAACGTACCCAAAGTAATACCTAAGAAAGAAATTCCTAGATAAGCAGTTCTTTTATTTGGAAACGCTATAGTGTTCCTAAGTATTGACTTAGGAAGTTCTTTTCGATAAGAATTACTTTTGAAGGTAACTGTTTAGGTATCGTTGGTGAAATCGGGCGTAAGAGTCATATTATACATGATATACGCACACTGTCATGACAATTTTAGGATAATTTAGGTAACAATACCCATCAATTTCTAGATATTACCTTATTATTGATACTGCTATTGACTATTGGACAAACTAAGAAACTGCGATATATTTTATTATCTTAGAACTTATTTTTAGGTGAAATAGATCAAACAAAATTAATTAAACTAAACGAATAATAATAAATAATTGATTATGAAGTGTACAAAAAAATAAATGTGTTTAATGTTTCGTGCAATAAAATTTTAGTTACACCAAATTCATTAAAATGTTGCATAATTACTATTATCTATAATGAGTTATGCTAATAAAATCCTTGTTTCCATAATTAAATTTAAACCTGTGAATTAAAAGTTAGAATTTTGAGTATATTTCCCGGTTGGGCGATTTTGAATAGCTGGATTCAAATTGAAAGTGATCGAAATGTCCTTTAAAAAATATATAACACGAGAGAAACGGTTATTATCAATTTTAAACAGGAAACTGCCAAAAATATGGCACTTAAATATTCTTGTGGTAATTTTTCACAAACTTTTAACTGGTCTTAATAATAATTGTTTTATTTATTAATGTTCACAAAGACACGTACATAACAGTTCGTTCTCTCAAAAACTTAAGTACATCTCGTCAAATAAAGGGAGTTTTTTTTGGAGGTATAGAAATGTAAGTAAAAGAAGGAAGAAAGAACAGCTGCCGGAGTGGGGATACTAGTCAAGAAAAAATGGGTAAAACAATAGAAACATGGAAATCCATAAATGAAAGAGTAGTAAAACTCATCATGGAAATCTATGGCAGGCAAATCGTGATACTAGGAGTATACGGCACTACGGATAACAGTCTGGTAGCAGAAAAGGATCAGTTCATGGATACCTTACAAGAAGAGATCGGAAAAGTGAGACCAACACAAGAAATAATAATAGCAAGGGACCTAAATGGAAGAACAGGGAAACGACAAAATGATAGCACGATAGACCATTTTGGAGAAGATATGACAAACGATAATATAGAAAGACTAATTGACCTGTGCGAACTGAACAATCTGAAAATTACTAACGGCTTTTGCAGACATAAGGACTTACATAAATACACGTATGTACAAACAACGAGAAACATCAGATCCATTATCGATTACATAATTATCAGCAAAAGTAGTACTATCAAAATAAGAAATACACGAGTAAAGAGAAGAGCCGAATGTGGCACTGACCACCGATTAATAATGTCACAAATGGGATTTCCCTACACTTTGAACACCCAAAATAGAAGGAAGAAAGAACACGAAGAAGACTAAGTAGAATATGAACAGAAAGAAGAAGACATGAAGTTCAACATAAATTTACTTCAAGAGGAATCAATAAGGGACCTATACCAGAGAAGACTGGACCAGAAGTTACAGGATTTCGGTTTCAGAAACGTCAAAGAAACGTACGAGCACGTCAAACACATCATAAAAAAGGCGGCATTAGAAGCTTTGGGGAAATTTGAGAAAAGAAATACCCAATACAAAGTAAAAATAAACAAAACAAAAAATCAAAAAATGTATTAAGGAGAAGAAAATTCTATATATGAAAAGTATGAGCACCCAATCCCCAGAAGAGACACGGAAGTACAAAGAGAAAAACCGAGAAGTAAAACAAAGAAGGGCAAAAAAAAAGAATGAAGAATGGGAAGAAACATGTGCACAACATGTGGACATTGTGCGTATTCCTATAATTTTGAGTTTTTTTTCGTATCAAATATTTTACGTATTACAATAATCCTCACTTGTCCTACACTAGTGCTAATATGTAGTTACTTATGAATGCAGAATTAATTACAAGGTCGAGTAATTTTATTTACCTAAAAATTTATTTCGTTAACGAATGCATCTAATACATATTCTACGAAACAGGTGAATGTACTGTACAGTT